GCTTCTTCTTCTTCTGTGCTTCCAGGGAGGGCAGTCAGTTATGTGTATATGTGTGTGCATGCAAACATAGGCGTGTACACGTGTGTATGTGGAAATCTGCTGGGCAAGTCAAAACCATAGAAGAGTTGCCCCCTATCTCTTGAATCTTCCAGAGATATCCCCCACTTTTTTATTCTATCACTACTGGAGAGTCAGTATTTGCAGCCAGCCAGCCAGTGACTCTCTCAGTGTCTATTTCTGACTTCTTCTTTCCCTGTCTGTCTTCCAACCCCTAATCTTATTTCCACCTGGATGCATCATTTTTACTCCCAATATGCTGTATAGAGAAGGAGTCAGGATGCTGTCTTCCCATGAATAGTACTCAGTAACAAACCAATTGCATTTTAGTTGGGCAATGCCCCTACCCACCCTTCAAATCCCTTCCACCATGCATTTCTGTTTCCCTTTTAGTTTGCTGGATTGTTCTGCTGCTCCTTCTCCTCACCCCACCACCCTTGGATTGTAATGTAAAATTCTTTTACCATGTCAAGAAATTATTAAAAATACAGGTACTTCTCCAAACACCGGCCGGGGGGGTGGGGGTGGGGGCGCCAACAGCCACCTCTTCCCTGCCCTCCCCCCCTCCCCCGGCCGGTGTTTGGAGATGTACCTGTATTTTTTTTCAAAGTTCCTGTATTTTTAATAATTTCTTGACATTTTTTTAAAAATGACCTTTCCCAGGTTTTAGATTTGGAGGGAAGGTCTTAAGCTTAGAACAACTCAGAACAAAATCTAGGAGGGTGGGAGGGACGGCCAAGCCCATAAAGCAGGTGGTGTGGGCACCACTGGTGGGGTCTGGGCTGCCCTCCACCCCCAAATCCGCCCTCCACCTTAGTGTGCATCCCAATATGCAGGAGATGTGATGAGGCCCAGCCTCCTGTATTCAGAACCGGGCTCTGGCCGTGTAGAAACGTCTCATTTATACCTCTGGCTACAGCCAGCTGTGCACAAAAGGTTAGGAGTCCTGAAGCCTGTCCTGCCGAGGAGAAAGGGTGAGGCCCTCCGTCCCCCGAGCGCCCCCACGCCCAAGGCCTCAGGCGTAGAAGATGAGCTCGGGGATCTGCCCGCCCTGCACCCCGGTGCCGTTGGTGCTGTCGGAGGAGCACTGGAACTGGAAGGGCACCTTTCCTCACTGCACCTCCGTCAGGCCCTCCTGCCCGAAGTAGCTGAGCTCGCTGCCGTCCAGCACGGCGCTGGCTGTGTAGAAGGTGTCCTGCTCCACCTGCACCGGGTGCTCGAACAGGGTGCTGGAGCCATTGGACATGAACCTGGTCAGGTTCTGGGCGAGGACCACCCCCAGGCGCGTGAGCTCGATCTTCACACTGTACTCGGCTTTCCTGGAGCTGGACCTGTACAGGCCCAGCCCTGCCACAAAAACCCTCCTGTCCACCGCAAACTGGATGCTGTCGCAGTGCCCCCAGTAGTGCCACTGGTTGCTGCGGTAGGCCGAGGACTGGAAGCGGTGGCACCTCTGCGGGGCCAGGCCTCCCCTCTTGGTCAGCGGGAAGTCGAGCGGGGGCTTGTTGGCCGCCGTGTACCACAGGAAGATGTTGTGGGTCTCCTCCAGCGTCAGGATGTACGACTGGGCAGCACCGTTGGCAAACTCTTCCAGGGTCATGGTCGGAATGCGGACCAGGTAGAGGGCCGGCCCCAGGACGTGCCTCTTGTTGTGCGGGGTGGTGGGCAGGCCCTGCCGCTTGCACTCGGCCTCAGCCCAGTTGAGCACGGCCTCGAAGACCACCGCCTCCTTGGTGTTGAGGGCCTCCGTGTGACGATGACCTCCAGGGTCTGCCAGTCGATCTCGCAGAAGCCCTCGGACCACAGGGCCATCTCCCCCTGCACGTCAATGACCTCCCAGCAGCGCTGGGTCAGCTCGGGCTCCTCAAGCAGCCGGCTCTGCGACAGCAGGACACAGGCGTTCTTGGCTTCCAGGCTTGTCTCCAGGAAGTGCATGCAGGCTTTTGCCTGCGGCTGCCTCTTCCCTGCCCTACCCGGCTTCTCTGATCACCAGCAGTGGGGCGGGCAAAGGTGGCCCCGGTTCTCCGATCACTGCCACCCAGCTCTTGCCTGCCGCCTGGGTTTCCGATCACTGTCAGCAGTAGGCGGCTTCTTCCATCCTTCCCCTTTCGCCTCCCAGCATTGCGCCTATGTATGCAAATTAACCGCCATCTTTGTTGGCGGTTAATTTGCATATTGCCCTGATTAGCCAATGGGTAGTGTAGCGAAGGTATGGTCAATTACCATGTTTGTCTATTATTAGATTAGATACTAATTATTATATATACTATATATATATTTATATATATGGTGTGATTTGAGCCAAGTTATAACTCAAATAAAATTTCCAGGAATTCCAGGAGTTTCAGATAGAAAGCCAACATTCAGGTACCTGAGAGACTGAAAAAATACACAAATATGACCCATAGATAGTGAACATATTAGCATAGTGTTAAAAGATAAAATAGTACAAATAATATTCTTAAAATTAAGCAAGTAAATATAATGGATTCTCCTTTCATTCTTGTTTTTCTTCTTTATAACAGGAAAATATGCTGTCCCTTCCCTCCAGGGCAACTATTCCACATCCAGTTTTCTATATTCTCACCTTTGTCTTCCATTACATCTTCTATGAGGGTCACCACTTCTTTGCTGTTCTTTGGATGATGTAAATTCACCCAAGTCCTGACCTCTTCAGGGAGAATTGTCAGGAATTGCTCCAGCACCAACAGTTCTAGGATCTGCTTCTTAGTATGAACCTCTGGTCTCAGCCACTGAAGACAGAGCTCCCAGAGTTGGCTCAGGGCTTCATGAGGCCCAGACACTCCCAAGTACTGGAAATGTCTGAACTTTTGACGAGACGGGAGACGGAGACGTTTTATCTTGGTAACTGCAGACAGCAAAGGTGTCGAACAGGTGTTCTGGTTCTCTATCCCCTTCGGTGGGAGTTTATGGCTAATTTGCCTACAAACGTCAGGTGGTCATAATAATCTGGCCACTCAAATATATATATATATATATTTATTTATGAGAGAGAGAGAGAGAGAGATTCATTACAGGGATTGGCTCACATAATTATGGAGGCCACACAGTCCCAGGATCTATCCTCAGCAAAATGGAGACCCAGGGAAGTCAGTGATGTAATTCAGGGGAGCCCATGATAAGTCTGAATCCAAAGCCCCAAGAATTAAGGCACCTATAGTGTAAGTCTCAGTCAAAGTCCAAAGATCTGAGAACCAGAAGCACAGGTGTCTGAGAGCAGGGGAAGATGGTTGTCCCAGCTCAAGCAAAGAGAGTGAATTCATCCTCCTTTCGCCTTTTTGTTCTTTTCAAGCCCTCAGTGCACTGGGGAGAGTGATTTTCTTTGACTCAGTCTATTAATTCAAATGTTAAACTCTTCCAGAAACACCCTCCTAGGTATTCCCAGAAATGTTTAACCAACTATTTGGGCATCCCTTACCCCAGTTAAGTTAACGCATAAAATTAACCATCACATCCAGCCAACACAGCTCAACTTGAAACACAACAAAAGATCCTTTGCCGGTACTCTCTCTATGTAAGGGATAACCAGGAATTATTTCAGGTGTTCTTTTCAGGATTTATGGTCATATTAGAACCAGATTAGTCTATCTTTTGTAGGTTGTCTTTTGGAAAATTTAAAAATAGTTTGGAAGAGAAGCAAAAATAAACAAAGCTAATCAACTCAAAAGAGTGATTTCCCAAAACAAATATAAATCATGGCCTTGAATACAACACATATGTTCTTCAAGTCATTACTGTCAGAATGAACCATGTTTTATCCTTACATCTTACTATGTAAGGAATCGCTAGCATTCCAGAGTTTAATAGGACAGTGGAGAGAATATGGGAAGCAGAGAGCAGGAGAACTCAGCAGGGACTCGGAGCGGGACATGCATTCTGTTGGCTGGGTGTGCGTGCTGCCTGCCTGGGGAGCAGAGTGTGATAAATGAGCAGGATCATGCATTCCTGAACCATGACAACGAGTATGCAATTGACTCTGAAGGTCAGGAGACTCTTTTTATTATGTAGGAAGAGTAGTGTAGAAAAAATTTATAGACAGATCTGGAGGAAAGAAAGATTGGAAGCAAAGATACTGATATGAAAATCAAAGAAGTGGAAAAACATGAAGTATTTAGCCATTTGTTAGTGCTGTACTTAAAGCATTTGTTGTATCTTTAGGAGAAAAATACATGTAATCCAAATTTTTAACTAAGACATATCTTTGGTCCTAGCAACTATGTATAATGTAAGACCACGTTAGAAAAACAATTTATATTTCTAGATCGAGATAATTTTATTTTTCCCGATGCTGCTTCTGTAGACAGTAAATTGTCAAAATAAAGATATTTGACTTTTCATTTCACATCAATAAATACTTCTTGCACATCTCAATGTGGGCGACGGCATGGGAAATATTAGGCTACATTAAGGACATGATTTCCACCATTGGGGGGAAAAATCACATTCTAATAGGAAAGGCAAAGGAAGCAGGCAAACAGTTCACCACGTAGAGAGTGCTGGGCTGGGAAGACAGTAAACTGGGTAGCAATAGGAAACGCTAAAGGATTGTAACAACAGAATAGAGGTGGCATCATGTACAGGTGGAAAGAGAGCAGAACTTTGAATGACATGGTCTGGGCTCAGGCCACAGTCTCACCAGCACTGACCTGGCCTTGTGAGCTCAGGGTTCCTTTGTGGTTTTCAGTCTCAACTTCCTCTTCTGTAAATTGCAGCTAAAACATGTGGGCCACTGACTCATGATGTTCTGATCTTGTGCTTATGCAGCTTATTTTTTAGGTCCCAGTAGAATACTTTACAGTGATCTCAGTAAATTTTTATCTTGGTTATAATTTTCAAATATGTGAAGGGTTAGTGTATTTGTGGAGGGATTAGCCATAGTCCATGGAACAAGGGGCCAGAAGCCAGGCAGAGACAGGCACTAGAAAAAGTGATAAATGGTCAGTATGAATAAGTCATTTTCTAACCTTCAAAACAGAAATAAGATGCATCCTCTGTGTCAGGAGGAGGTGGGTTCCATGTCAGTAGAAGTGTTTAGAGAGGGACAGAGTAGAGATGACTCAAGCATTAGATGACATCTTTTTCAGACAGAAAGTAGAATTAAAAATGGCACTAAATAAAATTTCATCAACATGCAATGAGAGTACAAGGCAGGAGGAAGCCTTCTGGCTGAAGATGAATGAGGTTTCAGTTTAGGAGGCTTTTACCTCAGAGAGCTGACTTTAAATCTAATATGTTTTTTCTTACTCTTTTGAGGTAATTCTATTTTAAATAATTCTTAAAATATATTTATTGGTGTAAATATAAGGCTTTCTTTCTTTCTGAAGGAAGTGATTTCAATAAAATTGTTTAACCCTAAAGTGCCTGCCAAAGATAAGCTTAAAAATAGTAAATAATGTAAAAAGACAATTTGGGTGACATCTAGGAATTTATATATATATAATGAAAGCATAATATGCTAATTAGACCAGACAGCCAAATGACCTTCCTGATGTCATTCCGGACATCCTTTTGGACAAAGCCACGGCAGCAGGGGGGCCGAGGCAGAGGTGGTTAGGGGCGATCAGGCAGGCAGGTGAGCAGTTAGGGGTGATCAGGCAGGCAGGCGAGCAGTTAGGGGCAATCAGGCAGGCAGACAAGTGGTTAGGGGTGATCAGGCAGGCAGGCGAGCAGTTAGGAGGAATCAGGCAGTCAGGCAGAGCAGTTAGGGGCAATCAGGCAGGCAGAGGGGTTAGGGGCGATCAGGCAGGCAGGCAGGCAGGGGAACAGTTGGGAGCCAGCGGTCCAGGATTGCAAGAAGGATGTCTGACTGCTGGTTTAGGCCCAATCCTGCAAAGATCCCTGTGGGATCAGGCCTAAACTGGCAGTTGGACATCCCCTGAGGGGTCCCAGATTGCAAGAGGGTGCAGGTTGGGCCAAGGGACCCCCCTCCATGCACAAATTTCATGCACTGGGCCTCTAGTATATATGTGTGTGTGTGTGCGCA